ACGTCCGAGAGCGTCCAGGAACTCCAAGCCTCCAAGGCGACGACCCCCCGTCCGTTCCCAGAGATCCGATGTGTTTTTGTTCCATAGGGGGTCCCTGGAAGTCTCGACCCGTTCCCCAGTACCGGCTTTTTATCCTGAGTCGTTGTTTGACGGTCCCGAGGCCCGGCGAGGGCCCCTTGGGGGCCGAAATGTGGCAGAAACCTCCGTCCTGATCTCTTCAATACGTTGGATCTCTGGGTTCGCAGGACGACGACCTGGCGCGGGCGCTCCAGCTGTCCCTGGAGCAGCCGGGGCAGCAGGCGCCCTCCGCACCGCCGGGGGCGCCGGCACCCGCGGGGGCAGCCGCACGCGGCGGGGGCGCAGGCGCGTTCCGGTACGGGGAGGACTCCGAAGAGAGAAAACTTTTCAGGCACAGGCGTTGCCAACAAGATCCCTCCTCCCCCTCATCATCTCTCCTGCTCCCTACTCCTTTTTCTCCTTTCCTCCTCCTCCTCCTCCTCCTCCTCCTCCTCCTCCTCCTCCTCCTCCTCCTCCTCCTCCTCCTCCTCCTCCTCCTCCTCCTCCTCCTCCTCCTCCTCCTCCTCCCTCCCCCCTCCTCCCCCCTCCTCCTTCCCAGAGGGACCCGCCTGGCGCGCACGCGAGCGTCCGTCCCGTCCGTCCGCCCCCTCCTCCTTCTCTCCTCCGTTTCCTCCTCCTGCCCATTTCCTCCTCCGTTTCCTCCTCCTTCTTCTCCTCCCTCCCTCCCTCCCTCCCCCATTCCTCCCTCCTCCCTCCCTCCTTTCCTCCCCCCTCCCATCCCCCACCTCCCTCCTCCTCCCTCCCTCCATCATCTCTCATCCTCCTTCTCCCACCCTCCCTTTCTCCTTCTTCCTCCTCAGCTCCAGGCGTTGCCGATGACATGGTGACGGTCCGTTGTTTTGGGTGCTCGCCTGCCCGGGGGGAGTGCCATGAGTTGCCCAGGACCGAGGCCACGGGAGAAGTGCAGCGTCGGCAGAGAGGGAAGCAGGATCGTACGGATGAGCAGCTTTCTAGTGGCACCCTCTCATCCTTGTATCTTCGGCCCGTCCTTGGCCACCACTCCGCTCGCTCTAGCGGCCTCATTTTGGGCGTGCGGGGCCCTTGCGTCCTTAGCATGCGTCCCTGTGGTCCTGTCGCGCGGTGAGCATGATCCTCCGGGTTCCGCACCGACTTCTGGGATCGGCGGTGGACCCCCGGCGCCTCCAGCGCGCCGTCTCCCCTTCCAGAGGTTCCCGAGCTTTTTCTATCGTTGTTCCTCTTCTTCCTCTCGATGTCCTCTTTGACTTCTTCCTCTCTTTCTCTCTCTCTCTCTCTCTCTCTCTCTCTTTTTATCAATCTCCTTTCTCCTAGTCCAATATAGTTTGACCTCTTCCTCTCTTTCTCTCTCACTCTCTCCCTCTCTCTTTATCTTCAACTCTATACTTGTAACCCTCCCTGCAAAGAGAAAGAGGCGGGGAGAAGTTGGAGCCCCTCTAAATCAAGCTTCGTTTTCGAAGATGCTGGTTAAAGGAAGCAGCTCGTAAAAGAGAACGGGAACATGAGGAAGGGGGACAAGACGAGAGGGGAAACGAGGGCGAGGGGAGAGTAGGGAGGAGGAGCAAGAGGAAAATAAGGAGAGAGGAAAATAGAGCAGGAGGGAGGAGGATCCATTTCTAATTGGATTACATTAGAGGTGGATCCGTATGTAATCATATTGTATTAGAGGTGGATCCAGATGTAACAGGTTTTCTGGTGGAAGTGGATCCATATGTAATGAGATTATATTAGAGGTGGAACCATCTGTAATTTGGTTATATTAAAGGTGGAACCATCTCTAAACGGATTCCACTACATGTGGATCCATCTCTAATCGGATTCCAGTAGAGCGGAAACCATCTGTAATAGGATTAGATTAAAAGTGGATCCATTTCTCATGGGATTCCATGAGAGATGGATCTATCCCTTTTCGGATTACATTAGAGCCGATTCCATCTGTAATAAGGTGATTTTTGAAGTGGACCCATATGTATAGGATCCCATTAAAAGTGGATGCATCTCTAATTCGATTCAATCAGAGGTGGATACATCTTTCATCGGATTCCATCAGAGGTGGATCCATCTGAGGTAGGTTCCACTTCGAAGTGGACCCATCTCTGTTGGGATGCAGTTAGAGGTGGACCCATGTGTAGTAGGAGGTGGACCCATCTCTGATAGGACTCCAGTGGAGGTGGATGTCACTCTGGTAGGATCCCATCCGGGGTGGGTCCATACCGAATGGGATTCTAGTAGAAGTTGATCCATCCCGAAAAGGATTATATTAGAGGTGGGTCCATATGCAACAGGGTTCCATTTGAGGTGGATCCATCTCCATTAAGATTCTAGTATAGGTGCGCCCGTCTCTAATGAGATCCAAGTAGAGGTGGATCCATCGGTAGTAGGAGTCTATTAGAGGTGGACCCATCTCTGTTAGGATCCCATTTGAGGTGGGTCCATGTGTAATAGGTTTCAATTTGAAATTGGCCCATCTCTCAGAAGATGCCATTCGTTGTGGATCCAGCTGTAATCGATCCCGTTAGAGATGCATACATCCTTAACAGGATTTTATTCGAAATGGATCCATCTGTATTAGGGTCCTACTAGAGGTGGATCCATCTGTTTTAGAATTATATCAGAGGTGGATTCATATGTAGTGGCTCTATGTGAGGCGGATCCGTTTGTAGTAGGATTCCATTAGAGGTGGATCTATCTGTAATGGGATTATACTAGAGGTGGGTCCATTTCTTTTTTGGATTCCATCAGGTGTGGATACATGGCTAACCGGGTTCTATTGGAGCAGGACCAATCCCTAATAGGATTCTATCCGAGGTGGGTCCATATGCAAGGAAACGATATTAGAGGTGGGACCATCTGTCATAGGACTCTATTAGAGGTGGATCCATATATGTAGTAGGATCCATTAGAGGTGTATCCATCTCCAACCGGATTCAATATGAGGTGGACCCATCTCTTCTAGGATTCCGTTCGAGGTGGATCAATTTTTTATCATTATATTTTATTAGATTCGGATGAATCTCTATTAGCATCCCATTGGGGTGGAGCCATCTCTAAGAGGATTCCAGTAGAGGGGGATGCATATGTAATTGGAGCCCATGAAAGAAGCACCCACCTCAAATTGTATTCCATCAGGGGCGGATCCATCGCTGACAGGATTCTATTAGCGGTGGATCCATATGTAATAGGATTTTATTAGACGTGGGTCCATATGTAAAAGGATTCGTGTAGAGGTGGATCCATCCGTAGCAGGATTCCATTAGGGGTGGGTCCATCTCTAATGGGGTTCCATTAGTTGTGGACCCATCTGTAGTGCGATGTCATTTAAGGTCGATCCACGTGTAGCAAGATTCTACTAGGGGTGTATCCATCTGTAATAAGATTCCGTCAGAGGTGGGCCCATCTCCACTATGATTCCAGCAGAGGCGGATCCATTCCTAATCGGATTCTAGTAGAGGTGGGTTCAGATGTAATAAGGTTCTTTTAGAGGTGGATCCATATGTAATGGGTTTCTACTAGAGGTGGATCCATCTTCAATTCGATTTCATTAGAGGTGGATCCATATGTAATATGATTTTTTTGACGGTTGACCCATCTCGACATATATTCCATTACATGTGGATCCATCTCTACTGGGATTCCTTCAAAGATGGACTCGTCGCTAATATGATCCCATCAAAAGTGGATCCATCTCTAAATGGATTCCATGAGGGATGGATCCACCTCTAACCGGATTCCGTTAGAGCTAAATCCTTTTGCAATAGGATTCTGTTACAAGTGGATCCATCTGTATTAGGATCCCATTAGAGGTGGATCCATCTCTAATGGGACTCTATTAGAGGTGGATCCATATCTAATCGGCTTCCCTTAGAAGTGGATCCATCTGTAATAGGATCCATTCGTAGTGGGCCCATCTCCGTTAGAATTTCAGTATATGTGGATCCATATGTTGTAGGATTATATTTGAGATGGACCCATCTCTGAAAAGGATTCCATTCGAGGTGGATCTCACCCTGATAGGATGCCATTCGGGATGGATCCATATCTAACCGGGTCCCAAATGTAATAAGAGTCTGTTAGAGATGGATCCATCTGTAATGGGATTAATTTTGAGGTGGATCCATTTGTAATAGGGTTCTATTAGAGGTGGATCCATATGTAGTAGGATTCTCTTTGAAGTGGATCCATATGTAATACAAATCTATTAGAGGTGGAACCATCTGCAATAGGATTCTATGAGAGGTGGATCCATCCAGTAAGGCTTTTATGGAGTATTACAAGAATCATCCACAATAGTAACCCCAGTGCAATCCTCTTCAAAAGGAACCTTTTGAATCCACCACAAAAGGAATTCCATTGTAATCCCACACAGAAGGAATTCTATTGTAATGCACCACAAAAGGAATTCTTCTGTGGCGGCTAGCAAAAGTGGGGAGCTCCAAAGGAGAAGGGGGAAAAATGTCCCCTCCCCCCGTCGACAAAAAAAACATGGCAGCTGATGTTTGTTCTTCCCTCCTTCGGAGGTCCCCAAATTTGCTGGCCGCCACAAAAGGATCCCGATTGTGGCGCATTCCAATAAAGTCCCTTCTGTGCAGGATTCCAATCGGACCCACCCCCTCTGCCGCCGACCGAAGAATAATAACAAAAACAAAAACACAACATGAAAAACTAGAGACAAAGCTCAGGTACCTCTGGAAGTGGAGTCGCCTCCAGCGCCGCCCCTGGCGCGCCCCGCGCGCCAGCGAGGGGGCATCGGCGCCGATCCACGAAGCCTGAAATCGGGCATGTCCTCCTACAGGGGGATTGTGGGCGGCAAAAAAAAAAAACCTTCCAAAATGTCCCCAACAAAAGCAACAAAAAAACGTCCATTTACCATTTTCTGACTATTTTTGAATTTTCCTCCTGTAGAGGGACAGGCCCGACTGAAACGAAGCCTGTGCGAGCCTCCGACAGAGACTCTGGTGGGGCCTCTTTCCGCTCCGCTGCAGGACTACCCCAAGCCGCTGATAGCCCCCGTGTCACTCCGCGGCACGGAGGAGCCTTCCGGCCCGGGCGTCGCGACAAGACTCCTTGACTACACGTAAGAGTGACCTTTCGCCGGAGTGACCTTTGGTGCGGGCCCAATGGGGTCCCCCCGATCGCCGAACGCGATGCGGTAGTAGCGTCTTGCGCGCTTGTGTCTGGCACCCCCGCGGCCCCCAAAAAGCCGCGCACCAAGGGTCGTTCTTGCGTGCAGCCGAACTCCCGGCCGCCAGCTTGCCTCGCCGCCCTCGGCCTCCAGGAGGGGCTGCTCCTGGGCCCCCTTCTCGGGCCGTCCCAGGGCCCGTCGGGAGGCGAGGCTGGCCCCGAGAGGAGAGGCCAGGAGCCCTGGGGGGGGGGGGGCCAACGCCACGACGGAACTGCCACGTCGGGGGAGGTGGGGACCGGGAGGTGCCGGGGCGGCCAAGGAGGGGGGACGACGACTGGGGGGGGGATCATGCCGTGGGCCATGACAGTTCCTCAGATTTCGTGGCGCCTCTTCTTGTTTCGCTGCGTCCCTGGCCCCCCCCCCCCGCAGGCCGCGCACGTGCCGCCGGCCATGATTTGCGCCCCCCCCCCTCCTGGACGCACCCCTCCTGGCCGCCCCCGAAGGCGGAGAGCCGCCCGAGCCCGTGCACCCGGGAGCCGTCGGCCCTGAGGTCGAGGCTCGGGGCGGGCGCTTCGGGGCACGGCCTCGCGCCTTCGCGGGCCGCAGCGCCGGCTCGTTTCATCGCCCAGACGTGTGCAGTTGCTGCTTCGGCGAGGATCATCGAGGAGCATTCTGGACCCGACGCTCGTGCGGACAAGAATGCAGGCGCGGAATCGGCAAGTGCCCGGCACTTTTCATCGCCCAGACGTGTGCAGTTGCTTCTTCGGCGAGGATCATCGAGGCGCATTCTGGACCCGACACTCTTGCGGGCAAAAATGCAGGCGCGGAATCGGCAAGTGCACGCGGAATGGACGACCGAGCGATTTTTTCTCTTCGGCGAGGACCATCGAGGAGCATCTTGGACCATCTTGCGAAGAAAATGCACGCACGGGGAACGGACGTCCGAGTGATGGCGAGCCTTGGGGGGCCAGGGAGCCAGAAAGAGCAGCCTCCCCCCTCGGGGGGGGGGGCCGAGAGGCCCGTGCTCCGAAAGAGTCGAGCCGCGGGATGTCCGAGGCGGACATCCAGCGAACGCCAACATGGACCAAGGCGCGTGCATCTCGGACCATCTCGCGAGACAACTGCGCGCACGAAAGCGAAGAACGCACGGGGGAGCGGACGTCCGAGCGATGGGCGCGTCCTGGGGGCGGCCCAGGGGCGGCGCAGGAGGGCGGAGACGGCAGCCTCCCCCCCATCGGGGGCGTCTTGGGGGCCGAGAGACCCGCGCTCCGAAAGCGTCGAGCCGCGGGATGTCTGAGACGGAAACGGACCAGAGTGCGAGAGCCCAGATCCCCGACGTCGTGATGTTGGTCGTCATGTGGCCCAGGGGCGGCCCAGGGGGCTGCGCAGGAAGACAGGAACAGCCTCCCCCTCGGGGGAGGGGCCGAGAGGCCCGCGCTGCGAAAGAGTCGAGCCGCCGGATGTATGAGACGGAACTCCAGGGAGCGCTAACATTCGGGTGTTGCTGGAAGTGCCCCTGGCCCAAAGTGCCCCCCAGGATTCCCACGGAGGCCCCCACGGCCTCCAGAGCACCCCCCACGAGGCCCAGAGGGCCCCAGGGGTCCCAAAATTGACCGAAAAGCTGGGGGCACCTTGGGCCAGGGGCACTTCCAGCAACACCCGAAACATGGATTCAGGCGCGTGGGTCAGCGACGGGTCCCGTCTCCATACGACATCGGCGTGCGCTGTCGCCGAATGAGGCGGCGTTGGCTTCACGTGTCGGGAAAGCCTTCCCCGCGCCATGGATCTGGCGCCCACGCGCCAGATCCACGGGTGCCTGATCCATGGCGGCGTGCGCCCGAGAAAACGGACCAGAACCCGAGGACCCAGACCCCGGACGTCGCGACTCTTGTCGCCACGGGGCCCTGCAGGGGTCTGACCCCTCCTGAGGCACCTGCTCTTCTCGCCCTTGGCCGTTCTCTGGCGGCTCCTGGGCCCGACCGATGCGGAAGAGCCTGCCGTCGCGACCTCTTGACGACGCGAGGCCCAGAAGGCACTAAGGGGGGCCCCAGGGTGGGTCGAGTGCTTGGGGACGCCAAGGGCCACAGGGACACCTTCGGCAACCCCGAAAGAAGTCGGCGGTGCGACCCGGGGAGGAAGACGGAAACAGCGTACCCCCATCGGGGGAGGGGCCGAGAGGCCCGCGCTCCGAAAGAGTCGAGCCGCCGGATGTCCGAGACGGAACTCCAGGCAGCGCCAACATGGATCAAACAGCCTCCCCCTCGGAGGAGGGGCCGAGAGGCCCGTGCTCCGAGGAGGGGGCTGGCCTCCTCAGAAGGCGGCGCAGCTTCCGGCCTGCTGAGAAGCCCTCCTGCGCCTTCGGAGGAGGCTTAGAACTTCTCGCAATGCGGGAGGGCTTCTGAGAAGCCGACAGCTTGCCGAGAAGGAGCCCCCAGAGGGCTCCAAGGTATTGAGCCAGCCTGCGCGCGCCACGTTGCTCGGGGTGCTGCGGCATTGACGCGCCTATCCACTCCACGGGTCCACAGCTTGCTGAGAAGACCAGTCCCCTCTGCTCAGGGGCAACGTTAGAGGGGATTAGCTCAGGCGGGGATGCATCGCACCCCTAATCGCCTGTTGATTGCCGATATGAGCCTGATAGCCTACCCCGCTCAGAAATGTACAGACTCGCCATCGGGGTCCCATCGCCGATCTGTCGACGATGTATCGCCGATTCAGCTCGATGGTCCTCCGCTGAGCCTAACATTCCCCCAACGTTCCCCCTAACATCCAGGCGTTGCAAGATGCAGGCTTTTCGTCGGCCTCGGACTCTCGACCCTTCGTTGAAGTTCCAGCTTTTCTGGCGTTTCCGTCGGCGCGCCTAGCCGAGGGCGTTCCAGGGGTGCCCGAGTCGGTCCGAACGGCCGCTGGAGGCCTAACGTTTTCCCTCCCTGGCTCGTTGGACCTCCCTCCCCTACCCTCCCTCCCCTTCAGAACTTGCTATACACGTGCACCTCGCGGGCGCTCGATCCGCCCGCACCCGCGCGCGGACGTCGCAGAAGAGCACGGCCTCCAGACTGGGTGGCGCCCGGGATCGGCGGCGAGCGACGGGGGGGGGAGAACATTGAGAAGGGCGTTGGTCCTTTGTTGGCTCCACGCCCCCCGCCGGCGCGGCGGCGGCAGCACCTCCGGGGGTCCGGGCGGCGGAGGCCTCCGAGGAGGAGGTCGCCGGCGCTCGATCCGCGCGCGGCCGTCGCAGAAGAGCACGGCTTGCGGACCGGGTGGCGTTCCAGCCTCGGGGTGCGTTCCAGCTGCTGCGCCTTACCGAGGGCGTTCCGGGTGTGCCCGGATGGCCCCGAACGGCCACTGGAGAGCCGAGCTACGGCCCAGAAACGACGGGCGTCCGAGGAGGAGGGGGCCTTCTCGGAAGGCGGCGGGACTTCTCAGAAGCCCTCGCGCCTTCTGAGAAGTCTTCTGCGTCTTCGGGGCACGAACGTGGCGGCAGCTGCGCAGTTCGCAGCGCCCGAAGGAGCCGCGAGGTCTCAAAATGATCCGCCCTGCCCTGCACTCCGCTGTGCTTTTCAGGAGACCACGAAAGTGGCTGCAGTTGCGCAGATCGCAGCCCTCGACGGGAGCCCCGAGGTCTCAAAATGACCCGCGCTGCCCTGCACTTCACTGTGCCTCCCAGGAGCTCACGGACGTGGCGATAGTTGCGCAGTTCGTTACCAGGAGGGAGGCACAGGGCAAGAGAAGGAGGGGGCAAGAGTAGAAGACGCGCGAGCAGTGCTCTAGTCGTGACGAGAGCCGAACACCCAGGACGGTTGGGACAAGTATCGTCGGAGGCCTGGGGGAGGCAAGGGGGCCTCTCGGAAGGGGTCGGGGGCTTCTGCTGAGGCGGGCGCCCCAGAAGCCCCCTGTTGGTAGGCGGATCTCTCAAGCTCTCCGCCGCCTCTGGCGGTGTGCGCAGCGAGCAGGAACGCAGCAAAGCCACGGGAAAGCGCGGCATTGACAGTGTAGCTCCGCACGCGTGACACGTGTTAACCAGCAGGAACGCAGCAGAGCCCGCTCCGCTCCGCTCGCTCCGCTCGCTCTCCGCCTCCGGGAGGCCCTCGAGGACTCCGGGCGCCCACATGGGACCAAACACGCCTGAAGCCTCGATCCAGGATGGCTGGTAGCACTGGCCCAGTGGCCAGCCTCTCCTTCATGCAGGCATCCGGCCCAGACCCCCGACGTAATGAATTTTTCATTACGTCGACCCCAGAAATCTCGACCCCTTCCCCAGGACCGGTTTGTCATCCTGAGTCGTTTTTTGACGCTCCCGAGGCCCGGTGAGGGCCCCCCGAGGCCGAAAATAATGAAAAACCTCCCGTCGTGATTTTTTCATTACTCGAGGGGGTCTGGGGGCGATGAGGTATTGCTGTACCATCCGCGGCTCCACAGAGGTCCCGGCCCCTTCACCAGGGGCAGCTCCTCGCCCCCCCGGGCCCCATTCCTCGACGGCCCCAGGGCCTCGGGCGCCGAGGGTCGAGGAAGAGTGCCGCGCAAGCGAGCGAGCGAGCGTGCCCTGCACCAGACGGTGCGCGCGCAGGGAAAATCGGCCACGCGCAGAGGGGGGGCAGGGGGAGGGGGGAAGGCTTCTTAGAAGTGCCCCTGCTTCTTGGAGGGCGCGGGCCTTGCCTATAGAGATGTGAGGCCCGCGCCTTCCGAGAGGCAGGGGTGCTTCTAAGAAGCCTTCCCCCCTCCCCCTGCCCCCCTCTGCGCGCCGCCAACAAAAAGAGAAAGGGCTGTCGCAGGATGCCTTCAGCAACCGCGCCGAGCCGCCCCGGCCACCTCCCAGTGGCGCACCGCACCGCCCTCGGGGCGGAAGCAGCCGGCCACCGGAAGAGCGCCACCGACGGGGAGAAAGGCAGGCCATCGCCCCGCTGGGTGCCTGGGCCCCTCCCTCTGCCCCTGGTCGGCGACTCGGAGACGGAGCCGTGGGGGATTGGGCCCCAAGGGTAGGCTTGGGCTCCCGGGCTGAGCTTGCGCATTGTTTGAGGCCCATCGTGTGAGCTAACGCGGTCGCTCCCGGAGCTTCGACGCGGGATGGGTCCCGGAGCTCAGGCGCGAGCTGGGTCGACTGCAACGCTGTTCTCTTTGAGGCTCTGGGCTTGTCTCGTGCTGCTCCTCGATGTCTTCGGCGGTTGACCCTGTATGGCCAGCGGCCCCAGGAGCATGTATGACGCCCCCGTTCATTAGGCCCCAGTCCCCCGACGTCATGAATTTTTCGCAGCGTCGACACCCAGAGGTGTGGACCCCGCGCCCGGAGAGGGACCCCAGGAGGCCGAAAATGGCGAATAACTTCCCGTCGCGATTTTTCACACCGCGAGGGGGCCTGGGGCCCCCGTCCCCCAGGGCCCCACATCACATCTTCAAGCCGCGGGCCCCAGGAGAGCGAGGCCGCGGCGCGGCAGGCGCAGGCGCAGCGCGACCGCCAGAACCTGGCGGCGCGGGCGCACGGCTCTGGGCGCGGCGCGGGCTCCAGCCAGGGCGGGGGCAAGGGCCCGCCGAAGGGCTGCGGCGGCCGCGGGGGCGAGGCGGGCAAGGCGGGGGCACATCTCGGCCCGCCCGTCCTCCTGCTCCTGCTCCTCCTCCTGCTGCTCCTGCTCCTGCTCCTGCTCCTGCTCCTCCTCCTCCTCCTCCTCCTCCTCCTCCTCCTCCTCCTCCTCCTGGTTCTTTCCTCCTCCTCCTCCTCCTCCTCCTCCTCCCTCCTCTTCTCCTCCTCCTCCTGGTCCTTTCTCCTTTTTGCCCTTAGACCAATTAGTCCTCCTGCTCCTGCCCCTCCTCCTCCTCTCCTCCCTCCTCCTCCTCCTCCTCCTCCTCCGCCGCCTGCGCGCCGCCGCCCCGCCGGCCGCCGCCGCATCATCATTCATCATCATCATCGTCATCATCATCATCATCTTCATCATCATCATCATCATCATCATCATCATCATCATCATCATCAGCATCATCAGCATCATCATCAGCATCATCATCATCATCTTTCTCCTCCTCCTCCTCCTTGTTGACCTTAGGCCAACTAGTCCTCCTGCTCCTCCTGCTCCTGAATCCTGCTCCTGCTCCTGCTCCTCCTCCTCCTCCTCCTCCTCCTCCTCCTCGACGTCGGCTTCCTGGCCAGCCCGGGCCGATCGCCAGGCATCCGACTTCCGCTTTCGTCGGTTCCCGGAGGTGTTCCAGCCTCGGGATGTTTCCAGGCTGCTTCGCCTCGCCGAGGGCGTTTCCAGGGGCGCCCGGATCGTCCGGGAAGGGCCCGCCGACAACCGATGTTTGGCCGATCTCCGCCTGAGCGGCCGACGGATTGATGTGTTTCTCGCGTAGTGTTTCTTTATCCTGGCCTCGGGGGAGGGGGACATGGCGGGCCCCAGGGCTTTCTAAAAAAAGGGTCTGGGGCGAGGACCTGCCCCGAGGAGCATCTGGGGCGCGGAGGGACACAAAAATCGCGTCGTCGAAGGTCTGGGGACTCCTGGCTCTCGGCCCGGCGCCGCGCATGGCACTGCTGGGTGCGTCCTGGCTCAGCCGGCGCCGTGCCGATGCGGCCCGATCCGCCGCGCGCTTCGGAACAGAAGATATCAGGCAGCGTTGATTCCAAACAGATAGGAGGACAGGAAGAGGACGAGAGGAGGATGGGAGGAGGACGAAAGGAGGACGGGAGCAGGACGGGAGCAGGACGGGAGGAGCAAAACAAGCAAGCGCAAGCAAGCCGAAGCAAGCAAGCGCAAGCGAGCAATAACAAGCAAGCAAGAGCCAGCGATCAAGCGCAAGCAAGCAAGGGCAAGCAAGAGCAAGCAAGCGAGAGCAAGCACGCAAGAGCAAGCAAGCAAGTGCCCTTGGAAAAAGAGAGGGGCCCATTTGAAAAAGGGGGGTGCCATTGGAAAAAGGAAGGGGGGTCCTAAAGACCAATTACTTATGATGAGCCAGGACTCCGATAGGGCAAGCCTATTTGGAGAAGACAACATGAACGTAAATGTTATGAGGGTATCGTTTGTGAAGTGACTGCGTATCCAGAACGCGCCGACCCGATCCGATGCACTCACTCGATGCCAACCGATCTGGTCCGATGCCCCGATTCCCCGATTTCGGGGGCGCGTCCAAAGGGAGGGGGTGAGGGTTGACGGAGAGGGGTAGCAGAACCTCGGCCGTAAAAGTTCCCTAAGAGGTGCCTCCTCTTTTGATGCAAGTGTTCCGTGGTCCCCCTCGTCCGCGCACATGCCTCAAGCCATGATGCGCTAACTCCCCTCTCCCGACGCCCCCTCTTCAGCGCACCCGACGCCAGACATCCGAGGGTGCGATTTGTGCAATCCGCGGCCACAGAGGCCCCGACGCCTTCCCGGGAGGCAGCCTTTCGTCCCAGATAGTTTTCCATGCCCCGGGGCCTTGCAGCGGGCCCTAGCGGCTGAGATCGAGCAAACGCGCCGGGGCTGAACAGAATCCAGGCCGTCGGAGATGTGGGTCTTCGGCGCCACCGACGATCCGATGCCAACCGATCCCGGCAAAGGGCTCCTGCGCGGGCAAGCGCGGGCACGCGGAGGGGCCCGGGAAGGGCGAGCGGAAGCGGCGCTGGGGCGCCGGCCAGGCGCCCGAGGACGAGCGCGTCCGCGGGGCATAGGCTCGGGCGGCGGCAAACCGGCGTCGCCACGGTTTCGTCGGCTCGCAGAGGGTGTTCCAGCCTCGGGATGCTTTCCAGCAGCTGCGCCTCGCCGAGGGCGTTCCAGGGGTGCCGAGATCGCCCCGAACGGCCGCCTGAGGCCAGGCTTTTGGCCCGAGAGCCACATCCGCCCAGGCCTCGGACTGACGACTGACTGGTTGTCTGCAGTTCCCCCCGCGCTGGAGGGTTTCTCCGAAGGGCTTAGGCGACCCCTCCTCCTCCTCCTCCTCCTCCACCACCTCCACCTCCTCCTCCTCCTCCTCCTCCTCCTCCTCCTCCTGCTCCTCCTCCTCCTCCTCCTCCTCCTCCTCCTCCTCCTCCTCCTCCTCCTCGAGGACGGAAGTCCAGCATGACCAGGCCATCAGAGCTCTCCTCCTCCGAGGGCACCCGTGCGCGGGGCGAAGGGGTAGCTGGCGAGACCAGCGGCGTGAGCTGAGGACTATCAGGGTGACCAGGGCGTTGCGCTACGTATCTCGGAGGGCGGGGTGGCGGTGGGGAGCTGGTGTCCTCCGTTGTCGGAGCCAGACGAGCCCTCCAAGAAACCGTCGCCATAGTAGCCGAGGAGGTCGACGAGCTGGAAGAGGAATCCGAAGAACTCGCCACTCGGTGGGGCCATTGAGGCACGAGCGTGGCGCGTTCCGCCTCGGTGATGCGAGTCGGGTGCGCTAGGCGCATCGCGCGCACCCCTGCCAAGGCACAAGCGTGTGTCTGCGCCACGGACAGCGGCCAGTCAGGGAGGATGCGGGCCTCGTTGTACATGATGTAGGCGGCCGTGAGCGCAGAGAACGAGGCGAACGAGGGAGCCGACAAGCCCCAGCGCGAAACCCAGTCTAGCGGAATAGGGCGAGCCAAAGCACGCCTGAGAGCACGGTACATGATCGGGCAACGCGCATCGTGTCGAAGAGAATCGATACGGCGCACGCAGCCGAAAGCACAGTGCCGTTGGCCATGTGGAGAAATGATCCGCGCCGTCGTCATCCATCCGTCGCACCAGATACGCAATACAGCCCACGCCCAAGAGCACGGACAACGCATCAGGGTAAGTACGCAGCTGTCCCAGTCAATCATGTCGAGGCGGTGCTTCGAGCGGCCAGCAAACTTCTGTAGACGGCGAAGCACCAGATCACGAAGTGGGCGAGCCTCCCGCGACTGCACTCGGAGCGCAAGATGGGCAGCACGCTGAGGGCGAGGGCGCTGGCCAGGGGCAGGAGACAGGGCAGCACGAGCAGCGGGAAGAGCGGCTGCCAGCAGAGTATCCAGACCAGAGCCCGCAGGAGCCTGCCCGAGGGCAGCCGCCGCCAGGTTCTCGGCCAACGCGGGGGTCTGCCAGAAGCCCGGGTACAGACGGTGCGGCGGGAGCATGTCAAGAGTCACGTCGGTGTCCCTCATGACAGCATGCTCGCGCATGCGGCACAGGATGGGCTCCCAGCAGGGGTATGTGAGCAACGCAGCACGGGTGATAGAGGCCACCGCCAGGTGCGCCCACCGAATGATCTTCGGGCCTCCCCAGCGCTCCAGCTGCACCCAGAGGTCGAGGCCGAAGGTGAGGGGAAGACGAAATACTTGTGCAAGGACAGCAGGTCTTGGCTGTAGGATCGACCGAGGAATCCAAGAGAACTGCGCAATGTAAGAGAGAGTGGTGACGGCCTGTGTGTTGTAAAGCAAGGCCGACTGGCTGGCTGGGGTGGTGCCTTGGCCAATTGCTTGAGCCCGTAGACGCAATTTCGTGAGCGGCTCGATCCAGCAGCGCTCTGCATCGGCTCCAGATTCCCAAATGGAGCAGGCACGCAACCACTTCGAAGGAGGACCAGTCGGGGACCCAGTGGGAGATCTCATGGAGGATTCGGGCGGCAAGCTCAGGCGTAAACGGTCCACAGAGAGGAACAACCTTGCACTTGCTCACCTTCAGACCGAGGTTGGCCATAACGGAAGCCTTGGACATCACCCCGAAAACTCGAGCCCCAGAGGTCGTAGAGTGGGTAACGTTAAGACATAATGGTTAAGTGCTAATGAACTTAACCATTGAGGTTAAGAGTTAACCTTTGATGTTAGAAGTTAACCATTGAAGTTAAGAGTTAAGCATTCACCTTAAGAGTTAACCATCTGAATTAAGAGCTCAATGTTCAAGTTGCAGTAGAATGCGTTCCATCGAACGCGCTACAATTGTTTCTGACAAACAACGCACATACACAGACGAATGTGTGCGGCGCTCAGGCGATGGCCTCACATTGAATGGCAGTCGCACGCGGTTCTTTGTTGCGGATGTTGACAGCGAGTGTGCAGAGCGCTCCTCCTCTTCTCCCCCGCCTCTTCTCCTCTTCCTTCTCCTCCTCTCCCGTTTCTCCTCCTCCTCTTCTTCCCCCTCCTCTGATCCTCCTCATTCTCCTCGTCCTTCTCCTCCTCTCCCTCTTCCTCCGCCTCTTCTTCCTCCCCCTGTCCCTCTTCCTCCTCGGATCCTCTTCCCCCTTCCGCCCGCCCCGCGTCGTCATCACCTTTCGTCGTTGTCATTCTCCCGCCTCTTCCTCCATCCCCGCCAACTTCCGCTCCCTCTCTGTATCCCGCCACCGTCTTCGATCCGCGTTCATGTCGTCTGCCCCCGATTCTTCGTTCCTCTCTTCTTCCTCCTCCTCCCTGCTTCTCCTCCTCCTCGTTCTCGCCCTCGCCTCATCTACTCCACGCCTTTTTTTCTCCTCGTTCTCGCCCTTGCCATCCCCCCCATCATCTTCCCTCCAACTCCAGACACCCCTCCTCGTCATCCTCGCCTTCTTTCCCTCCTCCTCCTCCTCCTCTTCCTCCTTCTCCTCCTCCCAATTCTCCACCCCATCGTATTGTTCGGTTTCGTCCTTCTCGTCTTCGTTCTCTTCTCCCCTCCTCCCTCATCCCCCCTCCCCCCTCTCCTTCTCCTCCTCCTCCTCCTTTTTCTCCTCCTCTTCCGTCCTTTCCCTCTTGCGGCGGCTGCGGCGGCGGCGGCGGCAGCTAATCCGCTCCGACTTCGCCGCCCTTCGCGCGGGGCCTGCGAGGCCCTCGGGGTCAGCGGGCCCCACCGGGCCCAAAACGAATTTCAAAGACCGATTGCCGTTTTCAAATCGGGGCCCTCGGGTCAACCACCGTCGGATTTAGGACTCGGCTGCGGCGTCGCTCCAATCCAGGCCGTGAGAAACATTTTTTCCCACCCGATGCTGCCCTGCTGGCCCTTGCCAGGGCGACGGCGGCGAATTATGCCGACAGGCATTCCAAGATACATTGGCGGCGGCTGCGGCAAAGAGAAGCTGGAGGAGGAGGAGGAGGAATAACGGAGGAGGCAAGCAGAAGAGGGGGAGGAGAAGGGAGGGAGGAGGACGAGGAGGAGGATGAAGATAATCATAATAAGGAGATGGATGGGCAAGGGAAAGGAAGGATGCCAAAGAGGAGGAGGAGGAGGAGGAGGAGGAGGAGGAGGGGGTTGAGGGACAGGAGGGAGGAGGAAGGCAGTAGGAGGAGGAGGAGGAGGGACGGAGGAGGAGGAGGGACAGGAGGAGGAGGAGGACGAGGAGGACGAGTTGGAGGGACCGTTGGAGGAGGAGGGGGGGGGAGGAGGAGAAGGACAAGGAGGAGGAGGAGGAGGAGGAGGAGGAGGAGGAATCACTCCAATGGGAGGCGACGCAGAAGAGGCCCAAGAGACCCGAGACGCCGAGAGCCCAAGAGTCCACACCTCAGGTCCTAGGTCCCACGAGCACACGGAGGCGCTCGCGCGGCAACCCCAGGGCCCGACCCATTCACCCAGCACGGAGCGGGAAGGGGAGGCGGAGCCTGCCTGGAATACGCAAAGTCACTGTCACCCGACTGTGAGGACGCGATGGACGATGAGGAGCAGGAGAAAGGGCGTCAGGGTGTCACCGTCTGCCGTCCGTGCGATCACTGAGACGATGCATCCGCGCTGCCGCTGCTCAGGCCTTTGCCACGCTGCTGCTGTTGCTCCTCTTGTTGCTGCTCTTGCTGCTGATCTCCGTTGCGTTGCTCATTCGGTTCACGCTGATGCTGTTGTTGCCCGCTCGTGCTGCTGCTGCTGCTGGTGCTGGTCGCAGCAGACTCCTTCAATACACGGTCGAGGTTGCTTTTCTGGATCACGCGCCCGTCGGGATCTTGCTCCTGCGAGCGTGGTCATCCTCCTTGACCCTTTCTCCCCCTCCTCCTCCTCCTCTTCCTCCTTCTCCTCCTGCTCCTCTTCTGTCTCCTCCCCGTCCTCAGTACTCGTTCCCTCTTCCTGGTCTTTGCGATCCTCCTTCGGTCCCCCTCCTTTCTTACCTCCTCCCCCTTCTCCTTCTCCTCGTCTTCAGATGAGTTTTCACTCGGGGTTGCCTCCTCCTCCTTCTCCTCCTCCACCTCCTCCTCGCCCTTTTTCCCTCCTTTCTTCCTGGCCTCCCTTCTTCCCTCCCTCCCTCCCTCCCTCCACCCCTCCCTCCTCCTCCTCCTCGAAGGATCCTCCCCCTCCTCCACCTCCATCTCCCCCCTCCCATTCCTCGTTCTCTCCTTCCCCTCTCTCCCTACTCCTCCGCTTCCTCCTCCTCCTCTTCATCCTCCTCCTACTACTCCTACTCCTACTCCTCCTCCTCCTGCTCCTCCTCCTCTTCCGTCTACTCCTTCACCTCCTTTATCCCCCCATCACCCATCGTCGCTCGGGCGACGTCGGGGGAGGGGGGAGAAGGAGGCTGGCAATTGTCGGATCTTGGTTCCCGTCGAATCCATCAACGCCCTGAAATACGCACCCGTGGGGAACATCTGGTCCGCCCATTGCCTCGATGCTCGGTCCTCTCGAGTCCACTCGGATCTGCGGGCAATCTTCGGCAACGGCGTGCGAAACCCCATCCTCTCGCCCATGGCGTTCATCATGTTTGCCCGAGCTTGGCCCTGGATGCGTTTCAGAGCCTCTGAATTCGAGAGCTTGCCATCGTCGGAGGGGTCCGCCATCGGCGCGCTGGTCGGGCTCGGGTCTAGAACGTCGTGGCTGCGTTGGCTTTAAGTTCGAGGCTCGGGCCGAATCGATGTGCTCCTCCGCTTTCGCCCAGGGACCACCGTTGCTCCACCGTTGCTCCATCGCTGCTCCATCGCTGCTCCATCGCTGCCCCATCGCCGCGCGCCCGAACGGCAACAACTGGGGCTGCGCGATTGGGCAACGACGGGAACGCGAAGACACGGCGATGGAACGACGATCGGGCAGCGCTTTCATTTTTGGGGTCGGCCGATCGGTCAACGAG